CTCCCGCCGAGGGTTCGGACCCCATATAGAGACCCGTCAGCTCCCTGGTTGAGCGCGGTGCGGGCGCGACACTGAGGGTTGCGATCCTGTTGCCGGTCACGAAAAAAAGACAAAAAGAAAAAAAAAAAAAAAAAGATGACCGGTAAGGGGATCTTAACCCTTGACTTGGTGTTATCAGCACCACGTGAGCAAACTGGCCATCCCTATATGGGATCCGAACCCGTGGCCTTGGTGTTACCAGCACCGCACTCTCCCGAGTGAGCCACAGGCCGGCCCCTGGTTTCATTTTTTACATTTATATCTTTGATAAAGCTGGAGTTATCTGTGCATAAAGTATTGCTATGGAGCCCCCTCCCTTATTTTTTTCAACTGACAATGCAGTTGTCTGACATTGCATCCTTGATATTAGCTTTTCAAGGGATGGTCACATTCCTTTTTAATGCTCCTTGTGACCCTCTGTATTTATCAGATGAGGAACCCCAGGGGGTACGAGGCAGAGCCCTGGACACTCTGGACCTGTTCTGGGTGGTGACTGGGTACAGTCCTTGCAGGCTGGACTGCTGATGGCTGTGTCTCCTCTACCCCAGATGTCTGTGCCTTCTGCCACAAGACTGTGTCCCCCCGAGAGCTGGCCGTGGAGGCCATGAAGAGGCAGTACCACGCCCAGTGCTTCACCTGCCGTACCTGCCGCCGCCAGCTGGCCGGGCAGAGCTTCTACCAGAAGGATGGGCGGCCCCTCTGCGAACCCTGCTACCAGGTAACCCCCTGCGCAGGCCTCCGGGTGCCAGGCACTGAGAGAGGCACTTAGAAGACATTATATCATTCCATTCCCACTACAATCCCGGGAGGTGGCACAACTGACCCATTTCACAGATGAAGATGCTTGGACTCAGAAAGGAGAAGCAGCTCAGCCAAGGTGTATTAGTTTCCTGTTGCTGCTGTAACAAATTGCCACAAACCTGGTGGCTTCAAACATCATGCAGGTGTTCTCTTCTTCTGGAGGTCACAAGTCCAAAATCAGTTTCAGTGGGCCCAAGTCAAGGTGTCGAGCTCGCTCTGGCGGCTGTCAGGGAGGATCCGTTTCCTTGCCTTTTCCAGTTTCTGGTTCCTTTCATCATCAAAGCCAGCAGTGAAGCATCTTGCTTCAGTGGTCAATTGCCGTCTTCTGTATCAAATCTCCTTTGCTTCCCTCTTATAAGGACACTTGTGATTACATTTAGGACCCACCTGGATAATCCAGGATAGTCTCCCCATCTCAAGAGCCTTCACTTAATCACATCTGCAAAATCTATTTTTTTTTAAAAGATGACCGGTAAGGGAATCTTAACTCTTGCCTTGGTGTTGTCAGCACCATGCTCACCCAAGTGAGCAAACTGGCCATCCCTATATGGGATCTGAACCCAGGGCCTTGGTGTTGTCAGCACCACGCTCTCCCAAGTGAGCAAACCAGCCATCCCTATATAGGATCCGAACCCGTGGCCTTGGTGTTGTCAGCACCACACTCTCCCAAGTGAGCAAACCAGCCATCCCTATATAGGATCCAAACCCCTGGCTTGGTGTTGTCAGCACCACATTCTCCCAAGTGAGCAAACCAGCCATCCCTATATAGGGATCCGAACCCGTGGCCTTGGTGTTATCAGCACCACACTCCCCTGAGTGAGCCACAGGCCAGCCCTGCAAATCTCTTTTCTGACATACAAGGTGACGTTCACAGGTTATAGAGATCAGAACCGGATGTCTTTGGGGACATTCCTTAGCTACCACAAGGCCCCACTCCTAGAAGCTCCTAGAAGGCTGAGGAGCTGGGATTCCACCCCAGACCCATCTGGTTTTGGCGCCTGTCTTTCGTCTTGCTGCTGTCCCACCTAGAGCCACGAGGTCCGCTGCACAGTCTTAACAGAGGAATTTATGCCACGTTTGTGCTCCGAGTGCAGTCCGGGAGAGCTGGTTTGGACACCGGAGTATTCAAATGTCTAAGTCTTCGCTGGTTTGTGGTGGCGTGTTCAGGGTGGCGGACAGACCACCCACAGCCGCATCACCCGGGTGTGCATGGGCCTCATCTTGTCTCATGGGCAGCACCTGGCCATCTGCATGTTTAACCAGTGTCACAGGTGATTCTGATGCACATCGAAGTTTGAAAATGACTGATCTGAATGGTTAGAATTTGGGGAGTTGGGACTACCCAGCACAGTCAGCACAGTCTCATCGCAGCCTCCTGACTTTGCTCCAGCCAGCAGGGCGCTGTGGGGGAGAGGAGGCAGGCCCTCCCCACCCCGTCCCTCTGACCCCTTCCACATGACAGCGGAGCATGTCCCTCATTCCTTCTTCCCTCAGCTTGAGGCCAGGTAGTGGTGAGGCAGAAGGGGTGAGGGGGTCTCACAGTGGCGTGCTGGGGCTGTCTGTGACTGGGAGTGGGAGGGGGATGCTTCCCCTTTCTCCAAGTGCAGCTGTCCAGGTGGAGTCAGGTTAGAACAGACAGGAGCACAGCCAGGAAGAGGAAGAGACATGTCCAGGAGAAAAGGTGGAAGGGATCAAGGGAGGCCCTTTGCCTCTGTATCACTCTTATCTTTTTTTTATAAATCCCTCCTCATTCGAGAAGGGATTTGAGGCAGCTCATAAGAATTTGAGCATGGTACTAATAACACCGAGGTCCAGGGTTCAATCCCTGTACCAGCCAGCTGCCAAAAAAAAAGAATTTATATAAACCTGTAGTCAACAGTTAAGTGGGTAGATGTTATGTTAAGGGTTCTTACGATAAAATAAAATTAAAAAAAAAGAATGCATATAATACTATGAATACTATTGTAGCTCTCTATCCCCCTGGCAACTCCATCAGAATGGGTAGAGGACAAAGATAAACGGTTGGGGATCTTCACTTACACATTCATATTCTGCGGATAAGTACGAACATTCAAAGAAAAAAACAGGTAAGATACAAATACAAAATATAAGCTTAAATATGCTTATATGGTGCTATGAATTGGTAGTCCAATTTCTTTAGGAGCTAAAGTAAAAATCTCTCTTGACAAATACAGAAAGCTCCTTCAAGTGATTCTAAGATTCAAGTGTGATGTGATTATTTCAAAGTAGTGGTACAATACTCTTCCCTAACAATACATCTTAAAATTATTTGAAAGTCAAAAGGAAAAACTCACTGAACTACCACTTTGTCCATAACTTCAAGTCAGTGTCTAATGCTCCTAGTGAGGTTAACTGACTCAGCTAATTTCAAAACGGCCCGGTGGCGCACTGGAGAGTGCGCCGCTTGGGAGCGTGGCGGTGCTCCTGCCGAGGGTTCGGATCCCATGTGGAGACTGGTTCCCACTCACTGGCTGAGCGCGGTGCGGGCGCAACACCGAGGGTTGCGATTCCGTTGCCGGTCAGTAAAAAAGACAAAAAGGAAAAAAAAAAAAGAAGAAAGTGAGATGAGACCAGGGGGAAGGTTAGTACCCAAAAATGTATGATGATAGACCCATAGGACGGCTCCTAAAAATAGAACATGTTTAGCGCCCTTGGGAGCGCGTGGTGCTGGTAACACCAAAGTCATAAGTTTGGATCCCCATACTGGCTGGCCACCAAAACATTAATTAATTAATTAATTAAAATTAAAGTAGAAGATGGAATTTGTCCAAGTAGACAAGTGGGAAAGGGAGAGAACTTCAAGGTTTATTGTTTATATGATAAAAGCACACCAGTCCCCCTGGGCATTCCTTTTCCAGACTGTGAGGTTTAACAGCAATGTTTCCTATGAACTCTGGTGGACCCTGGCTGGCCTCAAGTATATCCCAGTAACAAAAAATGTAGTTGTAGCTTCAGGGCAGCACTCCTCTCTGTAAGCCAAGGGTACTGTGCCAAATTCAATCCGTTATAAGCAACAGTGGAGGTTTTCGAACAATAGTGACAGAGTGATCCCATGCCTCTCCTGCACCCCCGGCCTCCTGGGCCCCTCTGGGTAGCTGGCCAGAAGACCAGCTCGTGGCTTGGGATAGGTCTGAGGCAGTGACCCTTTGTCCCAGGACACCCTGGAGAAATGTGGCAAGTGTGGCGAGGTGGTCCGGGAGCACATCATCAGGGCCCTGGGCCAGGCCTTCCACCCCACCTGCTTCACGTGCGTGACCTGTGCCCGGTGCATTGGGGATGAGAGCTTTGCCCTGGACAGCCAGAACGAGGTGTACTGCCTGGATGACTTCTATAGGTACGAGAGGGGTCTGCACACTGGGTGGAGTGGGGAAGACGGGGTGGGGCCCAGGCAAAAAGAAGGAGCCGAGCTGGAGTGCAAGGGGTTGGGCCAGAGCCTCCTGCAGCCTCTGAGCCAGAGGAGACCAGCCTTCCTGATCCACAGACCACGTATCTGACTGCACCCCTGCTGCCGCTGGCACCGGGTAAGCGCTTACACTGTGTAGGTGCTTCTCTGGAGTTAGCCCAGTTAAACCTCTAAACTGTCCTTATAGGTAGGTACTCTTAAGGGTTGCATTTTACCAAATGTGGAAACCAAAGCACACAACAGTTAAGTACCAAAAGTTTCCCTGCTGGTAAGTGTTGAAGCTGCTTCTCAGTCCCTCAGGGACCAGACTGTAGGGCTTTGCTCTCGGGCCCCAGACCAGACAAAGCAGTAGGGACACAAATATTCATGAGACTTGGTCTCTTCCACCGTGTTGCTCCACACCCAAAAGTAGAGACAGCTGTGCCTATTAAAAAAGAAAGGAAAGAACTAAAAAAATAGCAACCTATATAACACAAGGCAGACGAGGTGGGTCCCAGGCCCACCAAAGGAGCACACTTCTCACAGTCAGCATTCCCCGTCACTTCCTTGCCTCGAGCTAATTACACCCTGGGAAGCTGGGTCTAATTACACAGGTCTCTGCACCAGCTCCTGCCAGGAAGAAAGAGACGGTTTGTGGTTGTGGCTCCAGGTGCAGTCACATAGCAACGGGTCTAAAATAGCTCTGGGGGTTTCTGCCAGCTAATTTCTGCGGTGGTGGGTGTGAATGCCTCCCGAGCACGGGTTCCTTTCCCTCTAGGAAATTCGCCCCCGTGTGCAGCATCTGTGAGAATCCCATCATCCCCCGGGATGGGAAGGATGCCTTCAAAATCGAGTGCATGGGAAGAAACTTCCACGAAAACTGCTACAGGTGCGAGGTGAGTGGTGCAGCGTGCGGTGATGTGACATCATTCAGTCACTGCTCGAGTCCTGCTGAGAGCCTGCTGTGGGCTAGGCCCTGGGCTGGGCTCTGGGACGCGGGGATGAGTCAGGCGGGGGGCCGTACTCTCAGATTGCTGGCTGTCCAGGAGCAGAGACAAATCATGGAAATAATTACACATATAGTCTACTAATCAGCCCTCTTTAGGTTAATGGTAGAAACCAAACTCTGATGCTTTCCGTAAGAAAGGGAATAAACGTTGGCTTATGCTGGTGATATCATGATGATATCAAATGATAGCATTGGGGCTCCCTCTCCATCTGTTGGTTCTGCCTTTTTTTGTGTGTTTCCTTCATTTTCTCTTCCTGTGGGCTGTCATTCCCTGTGAGGAGGGGGACACGGTGCATGGGCATAGGTGGCCCAGGTTCGTATCTTACCAACTTAGGAATCATCAGAGGAAAGAACATACATACTCCATCCAGGAAAGCCGTACAGTCCCAAGAAGGCCTCTGATTGGCCCAGCTTGGGTCACGTGCCCATTCGGGACAATCACTGTGGCTGGGATGCTAGGATGGACAACCTGGGGCCAGGGAGGCCGAACCATTTGAAACAGAGAGAGGTTGCTACAACCACAGGAAGGGAAGACGGGATGCTGGTCAGGTCCACAGCACAGATGTCCTTTCTGGGTGCTGGGAAAGAGCTTTGCACCTTTGGGGCAAAAAAGGCAGTGCTGAAGTCTGACCAGGGTGGTAGAATCAAAGGCCCTCTTGCAGAGGAAGCAAGGCCTAACTTGGTTCTTACAGGAGGAGTGGGAGTTGGCCAGATATTGAGAAAGGAGAAAGGAAGTCCAGAAAGAGGGAAGGAAAAAACCACTGCGGCATGAGGAAGCCTGAAGGGTTGGAGGAAATGGAAGCTTCTAGGTGTGTCTGGAGTGTAGAAGGCCAGAGGCGGCGGTCAGCGATGCGCCCAGAGAGAAAGGAAGGGCCCGGCATGCCAGGCTAAGGAGTCTGAGCTCAGGCTACAGGGAGAGGCACGGCTGAGCTAGGGAGCTGGTTAGAGGATAGTGCAGGAGGCCAGCAGGAAATGCCCAGGGAGTCTCCACACTGGTCCAGTGACCTGCAGGGTCCCACGCGTGCTTTATAGCTCTGCTGTCGCCACTTTGAAATTCTTAATTTTTGAAGAAGGGACCCCACATTTTCATTTTGCCCTGGACTCTGCAAATTACGTAGCCTGACCTGCTGGGGAGGCTCCAAGAACCCTCTCCCACCCTTTCCCCTGCCAACCCTATGTCACTGCATTTTCTCTTCTCTGGTGATGGTGATGAAGGTGGCAGCTTTTATGGGTGTCACCTAAGTGGGGATTCCCAGAGCACATCTCTTTATCAGCTGATGAGTAATTCTAAACATTTATTCACTCACATTTACTTAAACAGATACGTGGAACCAAGAGGCTGTTTTCACTGAGGGCGTCGGGGGAGCTGGGTGGAGAAGTTGATAAATTGCTTCATAAGTATGTTGTCTTTGTTGGTTATAGTTCAAGGTCTGGCTAATAATGCCTCCTGAAAGACCAATGATGAAATTCAAGTGCTGTTAGTACCAGCATAGCCCTAATAAGCTCCAATGGTGATTAGTGTTTTCCTGGTCCTGCCTAGGAACAAATAAACCCCCTGCTTGGCCTTGGTGAGCTTGATCAAGGCTGCTAAGAATTTGGATTCTAGCTTACGTGTCTTGAACCTGCAGCCTGGGATGGGGTTGGGGGGCTGTTTCTCTAGAAAATGGGTTTCCAGGCCCTGCTCACTATCCCTGCTTGCTTTGTGGTCCGTATTATTTATTACCATTGTTGGAAAGGTAACAATACTTTTTACATGGATAATGTTCTTAAATTTATAAAATGCTTTCATGGACGCTGCCTTATTTACTGCTTACAACATCTTGCGAGATGGGATTTGTTGTCCCTGTTTAAGATGGGGAAACTGAGGCTCAAAAAAGTGGTTTTATGCATGTATGGAAACATCACTCTGCACCCCATAATTAAAATTAATTAAAATTAATTTTTTCATCTAATTTTTTAAAAAAGTAAAAATGGAAAGTGGGTCCAACTTGTGTTAGCCTGGGCTGGGTCCAGCCAGCTTTCTGCCACCCCACAGCCCCTTCGCAGACTTTGTAAGACTCGGCTGTAGTTGATGTGTTTGCTCCACTTGATTCTAATTTAGGAAGGGTCACATGTGCCTCTTTGAAACTTTAGGTTTGGCACTTGGTGCTCTCATAATGCCAAACAAGCAGCTGTTATGAATAACACAGGTAGTGGGATTAAGTAGCCCGGAGTCCACTTGAGACTCAGGGTGGAGTTGCAGGGAAGAGACACATGAGGGCGCCCTACCCGGCTGGCCCTAGAGGAAGGCAGATTGCACACCCTGGTCCCTGCAGGGGTCAGCATGGCCACCTGTGACCCTGAAGTCGTCTCTTTGCAGGGCTTCCAAAGGGTGCCAGCTGTGCCCTGAACCAAGCCTCTGGACATTGATCGTTCCCATTATTACTTCAGCATGTGCCCAGGTGAGGCCCAATAAGCTGTGGGCCTGGGGCACAATGGTGAACTTGGCCAAGCTTGGGCCCAAATCCCCATTCTCCTTCTTCTGAAGTCCTTTGGTGATTTGAAAAATTGGAGATATTAAAGTCTGTGCCATTGTTGAAGCTGTGCGGGCAGTGGGTGAGCCTGTGGGCCTGGGGCACAATGGTGAACTTGGCCAAGCTTGGGCCCAAATCCCCATTCTCCTTGTTCTGAAGTCCTTTGGTGATTTGAAAAATTGGAGATATTAAAGTCTGTGCCATTGTTGAAGCTGTGCGGGCAGTGGGTGAGAGAAAAGACCCCTGGACTCAGAGCCTGGACACTGGTGCAGCCCCAGCTCTGGAGTGTGCTGAGTGACCTAGGATAAGCACCTCTCCTCTTTGACTCAGTTTCCCCACCTGTGACTCGACTAGATTCAGTTCCTCATTCTGCAAATATTTACCGCGGACCACTGGTGCAGCCCCAGCTCTGGAGTGTGCTGAGTGACCTAGGATAAGCACCTCTCCTCTTTGGCTCAGTTTCCCCACCTGTGACTCGACTAGATTCAGTTCCTCATTCTGCAAATATTTACCGCGGACCCATCATATGCCAGGCTAGCCTGGGCTGGGGATCTGGTTCTGGTGGTAAAGGGGGTTCCTGTCTTGCAGAACTTAAAGGGGCTGTGGGAGGTTGTTAAGGCCCTTCTAGCTCCTGCTTTCCATGATCCCTCAGGGGACTTATCCAAGTGTCCTCAGTTGTCCCCACGGTGACTCTGCTATCCTCACTCATACCTCCGTGTGGATTAAAGCCCCCGTGTGCCTGTGTCTGGACTTCCCTTTGGAGACCTGGCCCACATATGTCAGGAGGACACGTGTGAGGAGCTGCCGTCCTCACCCTTAGGGCGTGCTTCACCCTTAGGGTTCACTCAGTCAGCTTGTTCTGCAGAGGCCAAGGGTGTCCCCCCACCGCCCCATGCAGGCTCTGTGCTGGCAGCTCCCGGCCTGGGGTGCATCCACGTGGGCCTTTGTCTCCCCAGGACTGCAGGATCCTCCTGTCTGTCGAGCCCACGGACCAAGGCTGCTACCCACTGAACGACCGTCTCTTCTGCAAGCCATGCCACGTGAAGCGCAGCGCTGCAGGGAGCTGCTGAGGCCACCTGCCAGCCCCGGCCGATCCTCCCTGACCCAGCTTCCCTTCCTGACCTACTCCTGCACGTTTTCCGTCTGAGCCTCAATGGACACCAGCCTGCAGCTCTGCCCAGTGTGTCTGGGACGCAGGGGGCCGAGCCACCTGGGCTGACCTCCACCCAGCTCAGAGGAGGGTGGCTGGTGGATAGCACCCCAGACTTCCAACTCCTCTTTCTGCCCCTGGGCATTGGAAGGCTCCTGGACCATGAGTGTCATGCCTGGAGTTCCTTCTGGCCTTTCTTGAGCACTGGCCTGACCCATATCGGGGGATGAGTCTTCAGATGGCACCTGTGTCCCCAGCACTAACACTTTAGCTGTCTGTCTAGTGGGGGGTGCTGAGACCAGTCCTGGCTTGCAGGGCTGAGCTGTCTGAGGAGAAACTCCAAGGTCCCTTAAAAAGTGCTTTCTGAAGATTTTGATGTTTAAGTGATGGGAAACAAAATCCTTTGGATTTGGGGGAGAGAAATCTTAATAGCAAACATCTCCCCTTGGTCCATACATGTACAAGAATGTGACCTAGTGGTGGCGTGGCCATGGACTTCCCAGCTCTGGGACGAGTCATGCTGAAGTGGGGCTTGGCTCAGGACCAGGACAAGAGGGTGGTCTGCAGACACGCGAGACGTCAGCACCTGCTCCACCTGCCTTCTGGCGCCGCCTCCTATGCGCCACAGCAAGGTGACAGACGTGGATTGAGTGACTGTTGTATGCACGGGCTGAGTATTTCCTGTAGCCTTGACTGGGACCATGCACATACCACCCCCCGACACACACACACTCCTCTAGGACGGTGCCAGGGCAGGTGTCCATTCAGCCCCTTCGTTGTGTCCCCCAAGTCCCACTCAGGCCCCCTAGCCCAGGCTTCCCATAGCCACTGCCTCCACAAGGCCACGCCTAGAAGATTCTTCTTTGTTTTGAAGGAAAATCACTTTTGTGGCTTCATAACTCCTAAGACATTTTGTAGGACATGAGCAAATTCAACAAAGTGTTCCCCCTGGGGGCTTCTCGATGTACCACGTGCTCCTGCGGGAACCCCACAGCTCCAAGCACTGGGTGGGATCCCTGGAGATCCTCGAGGGGCTTCAGACCAGAGCACGGCTTCTTGCCCTAAGCTTAGAGCAGCAAGTTTCAAACGTCAGCATTCACATGTCCCCTCCACGACTTTTACGATAACCGAGGACCTCTTGTTCTCCTTTCCTTTAAATCAACATACTAGTTTTACTCACTTTCAGTTTTAGCCTGTGCCAAGCAGTGTATCCATGCAGTCACGTGTTGATGCACTAGTTAGGTTTTTCCTCTTATACATGAAAATAAATGTGTAACTATTAGAAGTCTATCTGTGTCCCTTCTAAGGTCTCACACAGGCCAACATGGGCCTTTTGTAGAATTACTGGAAAGATGTTTATCGGGCATCCACTTGCTGTGGCTTGAGTGTCCAGAAAGTGCCTGCACCTCCTTCCCCAAGACTGGGGCTCAGCTTAGCAGAGGAAGGAATTCCTACCCAGCACTGAAGACACACTGGCCACTCACAGGTGTGCTGCTCCTGGACATAGGCCGCCAACGATGGGCTTGCCTGCAGGCGCCCTCTAGGGCCACCAAGTCCTTTAGGAGAATCAACACCCACCTTCAGGGCACGCCCTCTGCACACGCCCAGGACCGCTCTCCCTGTTGGGCTTGCTTGGAGAGAGGGGGCAAGGCGGGAAAAGCGCTGGATTTGGGGACAGACGACTCAGGTCTCAGCCCTGCCTCTGCTAGCAATAGTGTGGACAAGTTATTAACCCTCCGAGCCTTGGTGTCCCCATCTGTCAACTTGGGACAATATTTATCTCTCTCCTTGAGGGTGGCTGTGATGGAAAGTGAGGTGTTGGGCTGGGGAGGTTTTTCTGGCCATAGAATCTGTGCTCAGCATTCCCCAGGGGTCATGTTGATGCCTGTCAGTCAGACCACAGGGAATGTGCCTGTAGTCAGCAAAGCTGGGTTTCTTATGCTTGCTGCAGCAAGCGGGCTGCACAGTGTGGGGAGCCCTGGGGCTTCTCAGCAGCAGGGGTTAGGAGAGACTCAGAGTTCAGGCTGGTATTGAGGGATTTAGGGAGGATTTAAGGAAATAGGGTTTTGCTCTGGATGTGTGCTGTCAGGAACCAGGGATAATTCTGTGCTTGGGTAGCTTCGTTCCTCTGTGTCTAGGTTGCAGCTGTGACTGGAAGGGAAGCAGAGCAGTTCGGTAGTGTAGGAGAATGCAGGTCGTTCATGCGGGCGGCCCAGAGGCACAGTGCTCAGGTCATCTGCTGAGTGGTGTTGCTTTTGACCTTGACTCACATCCTCATGGTCACAGAGTGACCTTGCACAATGTGTGTGGGCTGTGTTGCTTTTGACCTTGACTCACATCCTCATGGTCACAGAGTGACCTTGCACAATGTGTGTGAGCTGTGAGATTCCACAGCCCAGCTGGGAGGGCCAGGCCAGCTCCTGGCTCTCAGGGGCCACATTTCTTAAAATCACCAAGTTTGGTTTGTTTTTTTTCCTATCATTAAAATGCAACCTCGTATTGTGACTCGTGTCCCAGCTTATGTCTGGTTGGTTGTGTTTGGAGGGGTATTACCTGCGTGAAATTCTGGATGATGCCATTGCTTTCTGGGCTGCACATTTACAAATCACTCCCTAAAGGGGCATTTCTAGGGAGATTTCTGCAGGGTGGTTATCTACCTGCCTCATGCAACTCTCACCCCCGCCAAAACTTCATCCATCTTTTCTTCCTTCTCTCCCTTCTTTCTAGTCTTACTTGGTGGGCTTCTGCCAAGTGCTAGGCACGGACAGAACACCCTGGGCAAAGATAGATAATTTTCCTTCTTTTTCAGTGACGTCCACTGGCAGAGATAAAATATATTGTCTAGTGTCAAGGAGATATTTGTACACCCATGTTCATAGCAGCACTAGTCACAGTAGCCAAAAGGTGGAGCAACCCACATATCCATCAACAGAAGAATGGACAGACAGAATGTGGTATGTCCACACAATGGAATGTTACTCCACCTTAAAAAGAAAGGAAATTGTGACACACACTACAATATGGATGAACCTTGAGGACATTTTGCTATGAGATACACCAGTCACAAAAAACCAGTCTGTATAATTCCACTTATATGAAGTTATCTAGAGGAGTCAAATGCATAGAGACAGAAAGTGGAGTAGAAGTTACCAGGAGCTGGGGGAAGATAGGAATGAGGAATTATTATTAAATGGGTGCAGACTTTTAGTTTTGCAAGATGAAGAGTTCTGGAGATGGACAGTGGTGATGGTTGCACAACAGTGTGAATGTACTTATTGCCACTGAACTGTACCCTTAAAAATGATTGTAATGGGCCGGCCTGGTGGCGCACTGGAGAGTGCGCCGCTCGGAAGCGTGGCGGCGCTCCTGCTGAGGGTTCGGATCCCATGTGGAGACCGGTTCCCGCTCACTGGCTGAGCGTGGTGCGGGCGCAACACCGAGGGTTGTGATACCGTTGCTGGTCCCCGGTGTGGGCGCGACACCGAGGGTTGCGATCCCGTTACTGGTCAGTAAAAAAAGACAAAAAGGAAAAAAAAAAGATTGTAATGGTAAATTTTATGTTATGTGTATTTTGTCACCGAGGGTTGCGATCCCGTTACTGGTCAGTAAAAAAAGACAAAAAGGAAAAAAAAAATGATTGTAATGGTAAATTTTATGTTATGTGTATTTTGTCACACACACACACACACAAATACATATATGTGACGTAAACTAGATGTGCACAGACAGGGAGCGGAGCTGACCAAGTGCTGAAGTGCTGTAGGTGGCCTGGGGGGGACGCTGGGAAGGCTGCCTCTGGGGTCTGCCCTGGACCCCCTAAAGGCAGGTGCAGCTCACGGCCACTAGAGGGCAGCACGAGCTAGGGGACGGGGAGTCCAGCCCGGGCACCAACGTTCTCACGCCTCTCCCCAGGTCCTCGGCTTCTGCAAATGCAGCATGGGAATGATCCTTCCCACCTGCCCATGGCACCTGTTTGCAGTGAGGCTGAGAGGGGAAAATGAGTGGCAAAACTAGAAAATGAGTGAAGTGGCTGTGGAGTTGCTGCAGCTGTCCCGGGAACATGCCTTCTTGGAGGGAGACCTAAGTCAGTAGACTGAATTCCTCCCTGGCCCGAACCCCCACCTGCTAGGAGGGGCCCTCGTGGGAGCCCCCAGGCTGCTACACTGCAATTCCATACCTGGGAGCCTGGGTTCAGTAAGCACGGAATCAGAATCAGGACAAAGGACAGCGTGGGGTTGCTGGGTAGACCTGAGCCTTTCTGCCGGTCACCCCTCCTCAAGGCCCCCCTTACCTGAGACCACACCCAGGTGCTTGGAGGTGTGAACTCTACCCAGCATGGGCCAGCCCCTCCAGAGCAACCAGATGCTGCTCCCTACCCTGCTAGGGACACAGATGGTGGAAATGGAGAATTAATGGAGAGCAGAAGGGATGAGGATTGGGCCAGAGAGAAATCCAGGCTGATAAGAATTCTAGTGACTGATGAACGTTTTCAAAGAAATGGTTTTCTCAGTTTAATATACAGTTCACATAAAAAAAAAAGCTATGAAGTGGGTAATATTAACATCCCCAATTCAAAGACGAGGAAGCTGCACATCAGAGAGGTGGTATAACTACCCAAGGCTGCATGGCAGAATCAGGATCCAAGCAGGTACAGTGAAAACTCTAGGCTTCCGCTACAGACCCACCTCAGAAACACCCATGTTGTAGAATGTTCCAGAGCCCATCGTGTAACACAGATGCCAGAATCCAACTGAAATAAATCTTTAATGTCTCAGCTCTTCATCTTAAGAGCTGCTGAGTTTATACTGCAGGCCTCTTGCTTGCAAGCGAGATATTTCGCTGACTCATCTGGAAAGGATGTTGCATCCTGTGCATGAATCATACCAATTCTCAGAGAAGGATCATCAGGGTAGAGACTACGGAGTATACCCTGCTCATGACCTTCTTTCTGCAGGGAAGAAAAAAAAATTGTGTGCTTCAGCAGAAAACTATGTACTGTCTACACACAGCACACCTTTCTGTGTTATCAGATTCCAGCCTTTCACTGTCTTTGAGCTATTTTGCCACTCTGTAAATTATAGGTAAATGATAAATTCTGCCCTACCTGGTAGAGATTCCCCCTCACCCTCTTGTGGAAAAGCTGGATTCACCTCCATTTGCACATTTATTGCAATATTCCGGACCTATAAATGTGAACATTCTTCAGCTGCCCTTTTGAGCTGATTGTAACATCCACCTGACTCCCTTATGCGTTAAATAAAATGTTTAATACATGGTCATTTTATATCCATGTGAGAGTCATGATTTTACCTTTAACACTTCTTTCATCAGTGTTGTGAATAGTTCCTCTAGGCCAGGGTGTGGCGAGGTCCCTTGCACAGTATCCTATTAAGCATAGTTAAAAGCAGCAGGCAGGAGGCCTGTGTCCCTCAGAGCAGTCTCCTAATGGGAAGGGAAGAGATGGGAAGAGATGGGAGGAGGAGAAAGGGGGCCTCTATTCAGGAGGATGGGATAAGGTCTTAGCAAGACCTAGTTTCTCCCCCTGGTGAAGCTACTTGACCTCGAGACGTAACCTCTTTAAGCTTTGAGGGTAAGGAAGGGCAGCGGAAACTGGAAACTGACATTTATTTCCTGAATTCTTGCTTGGGGTGAGGCTGGAGAGTGCACATGATTGATTACGTCCAACAGGAAGCTGGGTTTCAGCAGGGTTAGGTAGCCTGCCTGGGATCTAGGCTCCTCAGAAAGGACGACACTGACAGTAATCATGATGACAACAGCAGCAACCATTTGGTGGGCCTGTACGAGGGGACTTCAAAAAGTTAACAGAAAAATAGAATGGAAAGATAGTACAAATCTTTCCATGAAATTTTTGAAGTAGCCTCGTATATGCTTATACAGAGAGGAAGATCAAGGTCACGCCACTAGTAGATTCTGGCTATACATTTAGCTGAGTCCTAAACCTTTGCCTCCTAGATGTGACGGGGGCAATTCTTCGTCCCTCTGAATCTTTTTCTTCACCCATAAAACAGAGACAAGCATTACTTCCCCTCTTTACATTTATTTATTGATTGATTTGTTTATTTACTTTTTCTATCACCACATTTAAAATAACGTGATAGGGGCCGGCCCGTGGCTCACTCGGGAGAGTGTGGTGCTGATAACACCAAGGCCCCGGGTTCGGATCCCATATAGGGATGGCCGGTTTGCTCACTGGCTGAGCGTGGTGCTGACAACACCAAGTCAAGGGTTGAGATCCCCTTACCGGTCATCTTTTAAAAACATATAAAT